TCCATTTATTCACAAAGGGATACGTGCCAGGAGCGGATCGAATGAAAACAAACTTCGATTTCCACTCGGTGACATTTGAGGAAATATCGTCAAGAAATGTGACACCGGCCCGACGACCCAAGCAGTGAGCGCCTTTGGAAAGTCGATAGCCATAGCAGTAGAAGAAAAATTCGGGCGAAAAGAATTTGAGTATTATTCGGGAGACGACTATAAAGGCTATCATAATGCGGATAGCATTCGGAGAAAATTGGTTTGTCGGGATATTATACATGTTACTTATTAGCAAGAGCTCGTCTTGGATAGGGAAGCGAAGGCCGAAGACGACTTGGTCTACAAAAAACGTATGGCAACCAGGAGGAGGATGAGCGAAATCGTCATTGGGACCTGGGGCGACTAACTCCCAGTCGGAAGGAAGCCCGCTAAACCTCCTGAAGCCCTCGACCTCGGCTGCAGAGGCATAACAAAAAGGATTTAAAACAGCCAACCTAACTAAGGGACAAGCTATTGATACAACATTTTGAGAATTAAGAAGTGGAACAATTAGTGGTTCAGATACAGGGCTGGTTCTATAAACAAGGATGTCTAATAACCTAAGAGGAATACCTCGAGGAATAAGATCAAGACGATGAGGATTTCCTCGAGAAGGACTCTTAACAATGTCGACTAAACCGCCCTCCAAGAGCGCTTGGTCATGCTGCTCCCAGTCGACAGAAGAAGCAGTGGTGAGAGGAGGAGAAGAACGGGAAGGTAGCGAAACCATCCTATAGCCGGTCACCTCAACGGAGTCAGAGCTAGAGCCCTCGTCGGCTAGATGGGTATAGTCGTTGATCTGTTGACCGAGAGAGCCGGATAGGGGGGACGAGTCAGAAGCTAAGGAAAGAAAAAAGAGGAGAAGGTCGAAGTTAGTAAAGTCACGAGTAAGGGCCTACAAGATCGAATTAGGACGACTCGCAATAATCGACAGAGGGAGAAAGAACAAAGAAGGGGCAATCGCTAGCGGTATCTCGACCTAAATAAACTAGTAAGTCGACCTTAGTCGACTCGAAAAAAGAAAATTGAAGAAAGAAGACCACTAAGTCGACGATAGCCGACTTAGCGACAGGTGACAGTCGACTGCTCATCGGCAGCCGACGACTGGCAAAAACATTAAGTCCTAGTAGAATATGCGCGTAAAAGGATCCAACGCAAAACTCATGGGAAATTCGTGAAGAACACGAAGAACACACCGAAATTCCCAGAACCCAGAAAAAATTGAAAAAGGAAAAAACCAACGAAAATACGAAAAGTAAAAGAGAGATAGTGAACTTACACATAATGGCATGGTTGGTTGGAACTACGAATGAGCCTGAAGTTGTCGGAAAAAAGGAGCGCCGGTGAAGCCGAAGAGCGGAGATTGCCGGAGAATCTGAAAAAGCTGGAGAAAGCAGGAAGCTCGGAGATGCGAAAAGTGATTTTCTGAGAAGGGGAAGTATATTTATATAAGATAAGGATGTGTGTGAACCGTTGGATCATCGAAATAACCAACGACCCCGATGAGGCGCGAAATTCGAAGAGTCGGCGATGGAAATGACGCGCGTCACTTTAGGGTTTCGAAATTTGAAATTCGAAATAGGTCTGTCAGAGTGTCAGGCTTATCCAAAAAGCAATCAGGAGAACGAGAGGTACCCTAATCCATTGACGAGACGAGTTGTAGAAGGGGCCAATACGAGCAAGGCTGGTAGGAAGGCGACATAACTATACTTCACCAAATTTACTCTTAAACAGTCGACTGTTTAGAGTAATTTTTGGGGGGGACTAGATGATATAGCCACACAAGGATAACCCGGTCGAGAAGCTCCCTACCCGACCGGTGAACCACTCGAACAACTCGCATGTCGACATGACTCTGTCGACATTCTCACATCGACTCCCCTAAAGACGATTCTACTGAGAGCAATCGAAAAGTGGCAAAAATTGGCCTAGTCGACTCCTCCAAGTCGACCTTAGTCTATCGACTTTTACTAGTCCACATCAATGAAAGAAGGGCAACAAGAGTATAACGCCCGAGCATCCCGATATCCTAAGTCGACTCTCATCAGTCGACTGAGCTAAGACGACTTCACCTCAAAGGATTAGCCAAGCGTAGCCTCCGAATCCACACATATTCACGAGTCGACCTCCTAGCTCTCGAAGTCGACCTCGCATACCTCGAGTAACAAAGATGTGATGACGGCTCATCACACTTGCAACATACTTGAAGTTCTACGTATTATGAAGGATAAGAAGGAATCTGTTGATGACTCAGCAACGAGGGGAGACGAATCGACAGGGGCATTTTGGACCTTCTAGGTCCACCGACCTGGGCATTCTGGGTATTTCAGGTAAATATTCAGTCCTATATAAAGGAGGTGAGGTAACCCTAAAACCCTAACTCTCATTCATTCCCACTCTCCCTATAGCTGCTGCGCAGCCTCTCCTCATCACTCACATACTGACTTGAGCGTCGGAGGCTCTACGCCGGAAACACCTCCGGCGTTGAGTTTTTGCAGGTATTCTCGCGGTCTAGCAACGGGTTGGAGGCGGTTCAAGCAGATCTGAGCTCATAACCACCGGTTTACTTCAGATCTGGAAGTAGACCCATCAGAGAGGAAGTCAGCAACAAGGAATTTTAATATCTAATATGTTGAGATCAGAGACAAAAAAATATTAAATGAAAGAAAGAAAACTCATATTGTTTTTGGTTATAGTGGTTAATGGTAATGTTAATGGTTGACTAGATGCTAGAAAATGATAGTGCAAGTGGGGTAATATTGTTGATGAAGATGATAAAGTCATCATCTTTCTTTTTTTTTTTTTCTTTTTTTTTTTTTTTATGCTGAATGCTGATGCTTGGATACAAAATTTATTCAAAAATTCCAAACATGTTTAACTCAACCACTTTTTTTAACTCAACTTTAACTCAACCTAACTATCATTAATATTATTAATATAATTAAATAATATCAAGCAATCATTCTTACATATCACATCAACCTTAGTTCACTATTCATCCACTCACATAATTTTAATTAACCATCACTTCAAATCTCTCTTTCATACTTTTACATCAAATCAACTTTAATTATTTTATTTTAAATATTATTTTGATATACCCACTAACAACTAACCATACCATCTTTTCAAAATTAACCAAACTAAACCAAAAAATCCAAACAAATCCAAAAATTTTTATATCCAAGCATCCTTAAGAATTCAAAATTATTTTAATTACAAACATGTTTCTCATTATCAATAAAAATAAAGAATTGGTTATTCTAGATGAAACGTTTCTATTCTTATTCTTACTTCTCATTTTCTATTTCATATAATTACTATGATAACAAGAGTTTGATAAAAACTGATTGACGAAAAAAACCATACAAATAGCATAAGTTTCAACCTTCGAAATTAATGCTCGGCTCCATTGGTTTGAGATGTAGAAACTCTAAAAATAGAGTTTCTGGTTGGAGATGCTCTCAGGCTGATTGATTTAGATAGAAAAATGGAAAGAAAAAAAAATCTTCTTCGCAACTCCCCTCCCTGCCACCTCGACGAGGCATCGAACCAGCGCTGGAGGGTGCGGGGGCGGTGGTCGGGGGAAGAGGGAGGGACACGTGGAGGGTGGGGTGAGGACGGTGAGGCTAGGACGACTTCGATTGAACTTTATCGTTGATTTTATTTTAATAAATTTTGAAATATGACGGGTGATTTATAGCATGTTTGTTTATGAAATTTTCCAAAAAATTTCCAACATTTTAACTCAATCACTTTTTTTAACTCAACTTTAACTCAACCTCACTATCATCAAAATTATCAATATAATTAAATAATATCAATCAATCATTCATACACACCACATCAACCTTAATTCACTATTCATCCACTCACATTATTTTAACTAACCATCACTTCAAATCTCTTTCTCCTACTTTTACATCAAATCAATTTTGATTATTTTATTTTAAATATTATTTTAATATACCAACTAACAACTAACCATACCACTTTTTTCAAAATTAACCAAACATTTCAAAAAATCCAAACAAAACTAAAAATTTTTATAAACAAACATGCTCTTAAGATACGACGAGGGGAGGTCAGATGAGGACGACGTTGGCAACGACTGCTGTTGGAGAGGCATTGCTGGCAAGGGTGTCTGACTTTTGAAAGAATGATTTTGTGGAAACTTCCCATGAAATGAGGATTAACTTGATCATAAAAATAATGTTTCGAGAATGAAATGGACATTTCATGCTGTTTTAACTATAGAGATCTAAATTGTCATGCCATTGCCGTGAGATCGAATTATCTTGAATATGCAAGATTATTTGGATTTTCATCCCGGGTCGAAACATATACGAGCCGTAATCTTACCTACCAAACGTATGAAAAGTCATGATTAATGAGTTAATCCTATCCTATCAATTATCATGCCTACATACCAAAGACTTGCAATCATTTGTTAGACCGACAAAATAATAATTAAGAAACAAAATAATAATAAAAGGAAAAAACTAGTCGAGAACTCAGAATTGGACAGTCTGTCTGTGTCTGTTCAGTGGCCGCGTCATTTTCATAAACCAATTTCATAATAATTATACAGATAATAAATAATAAATTATGAGAGAAAAATATATATATTCAAAAAACACGCACAAAACTACAGCCCAAATCCAACTATACTGTTATTGGCATTGCAGCTACCTTTTAGCATTTCTCCCTTCAAAACCTCACCCACACCCACCCCACCCTACAAAAGTCGGTCCACACACAGTCTCACCATTACCCTTCTCACGCAGAGAATCTCTCCACTTTTTTTCCGATCAAATTCCAAATTCCATTTCGTTAAACGCATGATCGATTGATCGATCTCGATAATATCTTGGATCTGAAGCCGAGCTCAGTCTGCTTCGGGCTTACGCTTTCGGGACGTCTGGGCTCTCTTTTGTGTGTTTTTGGGGTAGTAGTAGAAGAAGATTAGTATGTACGGACGGGATCCGTGGGGAGGGCCGCTGGAGATAGCGGCGGACTCTGCCACCGACGACGATCGGAGTAGGAATCTGCAGGACTACGACAGGGCGGCGCTGTCGCGGCCGCTGGACGAGACGCAGCAGAGCTGGCTGCTGGGTCCGGGGGAGCAGAAGAAGAAGAAGTACGTGGATCTGGGCTGCATTATCGTCAGCAGGAAGATCTTCGTGTGGACCGTGGGGACTATTCTGGCGGCTGGCCTATTGGCTGGATTCATCACCCTGATCGTAAAGACGGTGCCGCGCCACCACCACCGCCCGCCGCCACCGGATAACTACACGCAGGCGCTGAACAAGGCGCTCATGTTCTTCAATGCTCAGCGCTGTGAGTAAAAAAGAAAGAATCTGTGCTTTACTGAAAATTTTACTCATTTGTTTTTGCTTGATTTTTAGTTATTGGCTTACTGGAAATAACGAATCTGGGTGTCTGGTGGTGTGAAGTGGAAATTAATATACATTTTGATTATCAATTTCACATATTTGTTAACAATACGCCGGATTTCCTTTCTCATGTACTTTGTGTGTTCGGAGGTGATGGGTAGATCCGATTCGGAGAATTAGTCGATTATTGAGATTGAGATTGTATATGACAGTGCTAAGTAGCTAATTATAATGTGTTTTATTTTTTATCTTTTGGAACTGGGAGTTTGTCAATCATCATGTGCAATTTCTGAAGGTGGTTATAATATTTTTATCATCTTCTGGATCACGATCGATGATGAGCTCATCTTTTATGAACAACCAGTTGACCTTCGATCAAAAGGATGATGCAATTGGGCTTGCATTCTGCATTGCAAAAATGCTGATGCTAATTTGAAATTTATCTAACTAGCTGCATTTTTGTGGCTAATCCATTACTTTGGTGTATCTAGTACATCAAGAACTGTATAACGTCTAATGGTCAATTCTTTGAATTCACAGCAGGAAGACTTCCAAAGCACAATAACGTCTCATGGAGAGGAAACTCGTGTTTAAATGATGGGAAGTCCGATTCTTCAACTCTATTTAAAGATCTTACTGGTGGCTATTATGATGCTGGGGATGCAATCAAGTTCAATTTCCCCCAGTCTTTTGCCATGACTATGTTGAGTTGGAGTGTGATTGAGTACAGCGCAAAATATGAAGCAGCTGGTGAGCTTAACCATGTGAAAGAGGTTATCAAGTGGGGAACAGATTACTTCCTCAAGACTTTTAACCATACTGCTGATACAATAGATCGAGTTGTGGCACAGGTAAACAATTCATTTTATAAGGAAGCTGGGATTGCTTATAGGATGCATTCAAATTTATTATATACTTATAATGTTCTATCATGCTCCGCATCTGCTTTGTTACAAATATCCTTTGGCTCGGTCAATCATATTTTATATTTCCTCTGAATAATTTTGTTATATTGGCAGGTTGGTAAGGGGGACACCTCAGGTGGGCCCGAGCCCAATGATCACTACTGTTGGATGCGTCCGGAAGACATTGATTATGATAGGCCCGTTACTGAATGCCACAGTTGCTCTGATCTTGCTGCTGAGATGGCTGCTGCTTTAGCTTCGGCATCTATTGTCTTTAAGGACAACAAGGCCTATTCACAAAAGCTTGTCCATGGTGCCAAGACCCTCTTTAAGTTCTCTAGGGATCAGCGTGGTAGGTACAGTGTGGGGAATGAGGCGTCCATGTTTTATAACTCGACAGGTTATTGGGACGAGTTTATTTGGGGTGCGACTTGGTTGTATTATGCTACGGGTAATTCGTCCTATCTTCAGCTTGCTACGACTACAGGCCTTGCTAGGCATGCTGGTGCTTTCTACGGGGGCCCGTTCTATGGGGTACTGAGTTGGGACAATAAGCTTGCTGGTACCCAAGTGAGTGACAACGCGTTTTGGTGTGCTGGTTTTGTTTTGTTTATGTTTTGATACTGGCTACAGGTTTCTGTTTTTTCCTGCTTGCGTAGCAGATTGAATTTTGTGTTCCCAAAGTGTCGTTTCATTTTTTTTTTCTTTCAGTTTTAGCCTGAAAACAAATTAAAACATTTGCTTAACATCGAGCCTTTTGGTTTTCATCTTGAAATTATAGTACTTCCCTCCCGTAGGATAGGTGTATCAGTTATTACCCATAGAATGGTCCATAACAACTTGGGATCAATTAAACATTTGTTTTATTTGTTTTTATATAAAGTAGCACATACGGTGCTATCTAGGCATAGTCGAATTGCTAAAGAGCATTATCTATGAAACGTGTGAGATGATCTTTTTATCCTCTTATTTGCAGGTGCTTCTTAGTCGTTTAAGGTTATTCCTCAGCCCCGGGTACCCTTATGAAGAAATCTTGAGGACGTTCCACAATCAGACCAGCATATTTATGTGCTCGTTTCTACCTTATTACACATCGTTCAACAGAACACGAGGTAATCCCATCCCTTCTACTCTCTAGATAAAAAAAGAAAAAGCTGCAGCTTTTTAGGTCCACTTTATTTTCCCTTTAAAACAAATGATCATTCTATAGAACCCGAAACAGGTGGCATGATCCAGTTGAACCATGGGGCCCCTCAGCCGCTTCAGTATGTCGTAAACGCTGCATTCCTTGCCACAGTCTTCAGCGACTACATGAAAGCTGCCGACACACCCGGATGGTACTGTGGGCCCAACTTCTACTCAACTGACGTCCTCCGTGAATTTGCAGAGACTCAGGTACCCACAAATTGCTAATACTTGTGAACTAACCCACCCAAAAATAAATAAATAAATTTAGAGTAAAATGCAATTTTAGTCCTGTATGTTTCACTACCTTAACTTTTTCGTCCCCTTCAAATTGCGTTTTTGATTTTTGTCCCGTATATTTGCAAAAAGGTTACAAAAAAGTCATTTCGCAACAAAATGGTCATTTATGTTTTGCAGAAAAAGGTTCCAATTTCGTCCCTTATATATGAAAAAGACCTTTTTGTAATCTTTTTGCTAACATGTGGGACGTAAATCAAAAACGCAATTCGAAGAGGACGAAAAAGTTAATGTAGTGAAACATACAGGACTAAAATTGTAATTTACTCAAAAATAATCATGTTTTGTTTCTCATATCCTTTTACTTACTTACTTACCCCTCAGATCAACTATATCCTGGGAAAGAACCCGAGGAAGATGAGCTACTTGGTGGGATTCGGGAGCCATTACCCAAAACACGTTCACCATAGAGGGGCCTCCATTCCCAAGAACAAGGTGAAGTACAACTGCAAGGGGGGCTGGCGGTGGAGGGACTCGAAAAAGCCCAACCCAAACACCATTGTGGGAGCTATGGTGGCCGGACCTGATAGGCACGATGGCTTCAAGGACGTTCGCACCAACTACAACTACACGGAGCCCACTCTGGCGGGCAACGCCGGCCTTGTGGCAGCCCTCGTGGCCTTGTCTGGGGATACAAATGTCGGCATTGATAAGAACACCATCTTCTCGGCTGTGCCGCCAATGTTCCCCACACCACCACCCCCACCTGCCCCCTGGAAGCCTTGACCGTGTCTCTTTAACTGGTTTTTTGTTTTT